AAGAAAGAAAAAGTATAAAATTGTTACATTTTTGATTTCCACTAGAAATTATCAAAACTACAGTTATTTTGAATCTGTATGTAATCTTAGTCTATGCTCTACACTTTAACATGTGTTTCCAATAGGTATTAGTTAAATTTTTGTTTTTTTGGTTTGTTTAAGATTACTTTCTGAAGTTGTGTAATATGCATTATATTTATTTTTATTTATAGTAATGAAACTGATTGCTTTGGTACTGTGGGACTATTGCAACATCTTAAGCAACCCTCTTCAATATGCTTCTGTTCTACTAAACTAATTCTAAAATTTAGTAATTGTGTTGCAGTTTTAAGCAATACCAATTTCATGTAAATAAAAGTAACATGCAAACCGATGCATAAGAATAATGTAATTATATTGTTATTTAATGATTATCTGTAAAAAAGAGATTATATTGAACCTAATATTGAATTGTGGATCTTTTCTCCACAATATACCCTTAAAAATTTTTTTAAATTTGAAAATATATTATATTGTATGTTTAAATTTGCATTAAGAAATTTATTTAATTTCAGTTATACATAGGAAAGGAAATATTTGATTTATAGAAAATTTTTTAAATTCTATTTTCTTTCTAAACATTTAGAAAAGCAAATCTTCACATTTAGTTATTATTATTATTATTATTATTATTATTTTTTTCTGGGGGGATTTTTATTATTAACTAATGTTCAACAGATACAAAAATTTCTGATAATTATCATATATGGTTTCATAACAGATTTTATTTATCTCAGTTTAAATTATTGATAACAAAGTCAAAAAATTTAATACTTTTTTACACATTTAACATTTTGGCATTGGTGCTGGAATAAACAATGGAAATGTTTTAAAAATAATCATTATTTTTGAATTAGTAACTGTAATGCAAATCTGAAATATCTATTTCAGTTCTGCATTGCAGTATTAAGCAATACAATTTCACACAATTTACAATACAATTTCAATTTTTTTGTTTTTTTTAAAACACTATCATAACTTATATTTTATTAACTGTTTTCAACAGGAACAATAAATCAGAATAAGTAATTTGCATCTTTATTAAAAAAACAGTTAAAATATATTATTATCTGATCAAAATAAACAGATTTGGAAATTAAAATTTCAAAAATATTATCTTACTAAAAAATGCCATTAAGTTTTGAAAGGTCATGTTCAAGGCATTGTGAATTTGTTCATTAAATTAAGATTCCCGTAATTAGATAATCACCTAAGTACCCATGAGTTACAAGAACATCATTATAATAAATTTTTAATAATTCTTTCTGGAAAAGTGTTTTTACTTTTAAATTTGTCATTTCAGTAGGATTTAATATTAATCACAATCTAAATGTTTATGTGTATCATGTTTAACATACACAAATTAATATAATCTTAATTAAATTTTTCAGAAATTAACAAAATTTTCAGTTTTTTTTCTTGCACAAACAATGTAAATTAAAAATCTAAGCTGTGTGATAGCTATATGATGTTAAAGCACATTTATAAATATAGTAAAATAATTTTAATTTTAAAAATCATATTAAATTGAAATCATATATGAATTTTTAATAATGTAACCAAAAGATATAAAAATTTATATCCATCTTATTAGAACTGATTTTTTTAATACACAATTATGGGAAAAATTAAAATTATAATTTTTAACTGTTTAATATTATCAACAATTAAAAAATTTTTTTAATAATTTATGTTAAATGTTTATGTGAAGTTTGAAATGCATACTAAAAATATGGATACAAACTGTAGATAAATCAAAAGTCAATAACCACTGGACTTGTCTCTGCTTGATTAATTTTCTCATTGTTTATATTGGTGTAATTTATTAATAAAAACAATAAGAAAATTAAATTATGCATAGCCATNAATATATATATATATATATATATGTATGTACAAAATATTTTTTAATAAAGGAAGAAAATGTCTTGCAAAAACATTTTTGTTAAAAATGTGTGTGTGTGTATATATAAGATTAATAATAGTCTGATGTACCAAAATTTTTTTGATCCCTGCCTGTGAGCACTAAGAGCTATCAAGCCCATTATGGGTTTTGGCCAGTTCCACAATAGGATAGCTGGATGGTGAGGGACAGCCCCTCAAAAAATTTCTAGAATTTTTGACCCCATCCTGATTCATTCCCAGGTCCCCCAGTGATGGGATGTCACTTTAAACAATCAGACATATGTACTCAAGACTTGTAAAGATCTTGCCCAAAGAATTTCATGAAGACATTTACACTATGTAACCTTTATTTCCCTGAAAAAACAGGTTGCATAAACCTTGAGTATCATCCTATATTCTATATTGATTTATGATCTTAACACATCTCAACAATAAATAATAGTTCTTATAATGAATTATAATTTTTTTAAATACAAGTTTATAAATATTTTGTAGTTACAATTCATACATATCTATAAAATAATGTGTGCGCAAAGTACAGTGGAACCACTACATTTTTTTTTAATATTTGATATTCGTCACATTTTGATGACTTTTTTCCTCCATATTTGTCAGTATTTTTTGTATTCATTGTCATTCCCAAGACTGGCAGTAGGACTAAATTGCATGCCCACACCAATCAGCTAGCAGTGTTAGCTAACTGTAATTAATCAGTCTGCTGTGTGTGGTTGTCGTGTGCTCTGTTTCTCGCATTGATTATTTTCAAAAACTCAAGTTCCAATGGCTCCAACAAAGCACACTGAAGAAAACCAGCAAGAAAGGAAAGCTGTTAGAACAATAGAGGTAAAAAAAAAAAAAAAAAAAATTATTATTGTCTACTTCAGAAAGCAGACAAAAACAGAATACTGGACAACTTCTTTATTAAATCTGCTACTGAATCATCGGCAAAACAGGCCCCATGATCATAATTGGAATTACCCAATGTTTTAATTGATGGTATGTCTTCTACTAAACAATAATAACCTTACTCTTCTTCCCCATCTACCACTATACTGTATTTATTTAGTACAATAAAGTTTTACAAACAACATAATTTTTATTCTTTTTAAGATGGGAACAAATTAATTGAATATCAGTTATTTATTATGAGAAAAATTGTTTCTATATTTGTCATATTCCATATTTGTTAGGTTCTTAGGAACAGATTAATGATGAATATACAGGTTCCACTGTATATGAAATCATCCATGTAAATTAACCAAATATTTTTTTACTTATATGGCAAGTAATAGAGAAACATGCATAATCACAACATAATTTAAATCAATTGAAAGTGCTGAGCCAAGTATCAATGAAAAATAACAATGATTTTCTCAAAGTAAAAAGTTATTTGAAATAATTTTCTACAATTTGCAATATCTATTAGAATCAAATGCAATTATCTATCAGAATCAAAACTGCACCATCACAATAACAAAGGTAATCATTGTTTAATTAACATGGTGCACTAAAACATACTAATTAGACATTTGTTTTTTCATTGGACAGCAATTTGAAAAAATTGTAACCTATAAATTCCCACTGTCGTCTATCCTTCCTTAATTTCAAGAATGAAGTTTGATAGATTAAAGTCAAGACCAGATATGGAAAGCTTAGGGGCAGGTCCTGATTAACTATATATGAACTTCCGATATGAACCAGAAGTCCATTATTTCAATTCAAAACTTTTCCCCCAAAAGGAGTTAGACAGATGACTGGTACAACTATTGATAACAGGAAAAGTATGACGTATTAATAAATGACAAGACACTACTAATTTGAGATGAAAAGCATATATTACAAATTAAAAATTGCAGCCCGGCATTGTGACTATGTCACAATAAATAATTGTTCACTTGTAAGAACAACTGAAACTATAAATCTTTCAAAATGCAAATAACTTTCATAACTTTTTTCCTTTGAGAAAATCTTTTTTTTTTATTGATGTAAATTATGCATGCGTTTACTCCATTACTTGCCATGTTAGTACTTTAACAGTGTACTTATTTCCAAATTTATTTATATATATATATATAAAGTGGAAATATATACACACACTATATATATATATATACACACTTTTTTTTAATAAAAATGTTTTATAATCTTCAATAAAACCATTAAAACTGATTACTTCTAATAATTACAGTTTACTTTATACATTAAAAATTTATATTGAAATATTACATGTATGTGCAAGCAATAAAATTATCTTAATTTTATGTAGTTTTATTAAATCATTGCAATATCTTCACGTAGGATCATTTCCCCAATTAAAATAATGTATCATGACTAATGTGCACGTGACTAACTTTATTATTAATAATATAGTTTTTTTAAGACTTAAATGTGACTAGAGTTTGATTAAACTCAAGACTAGTTTACAAATTAGTGTATTTGTCTTTAAATACTTTTGAATATTAATAGCTTTAATGATGATACATAGCACCTTTAACATTACTCTAATATTTTTGTAATTTAACTAACATAAGAGTGCGGCCTAGAACATTTATTTTGGAACTTATAACTAAGTTTCTGCCTCAATTTCATACCAGATTAAAACTAATGAAAATTGTACACTTTACAGAAGATTTCATACAAATTATAGCTATGTATTTTCCTGTATGAAGTAAAAATTACTCTTACCAACTCAATTTTCCTGAAATATAACAAGAGCTTGAACCCATATTATGCATAAAAAGTATTTTTAAAATATTAAGAATTTATATATAAAATTTTATGGACTAAATGCCAGAAAATATATCATCTCAAAGATATAGTTTATTTTTATTATATTGATATCAAACTAAATTATTTAAGGATAAAGGGGAAAAAATGGTTGAAACAGTCTTTTGGAAAAGATTTTATTTGCAGCAATTAATTCTATTCTTAATTTATACAACTGTAAAATAGGAAAGTTAGTTTATCATCCACATACTTAAAATGTATGTGCAAATGAGACTACACATTCCTGTAAGGTTAAAAATAATATTAAATAAATCATACATTATTCCAGATTTAAAATTTCATTTTATATTTTAATAATAAGAGAAGATAAATCTTGACAACAAAGGTGATTTTTTTCCTATTACAACTGTTAATTCACATTTGTGTTTTTTTATTTATTTTTAACACCACTTTGCACACCATTTACTCTTAGTCTCCAAGAAGAAAGTATTGATTATTAATACTTGAATTTTTTTCAATGTAATAAATATATTTTTTAAATTAACTGCCATCTTCTTGCAATATCAATTTAGTTATGCTGAATTAATTTATAATTTATTTGTTTCAATTTATAATTTATATGTTTATCTTTCTTAGTGTTGATACCAGTAACTGTGATAAAATTTTTAACATCGGAATTCCACAAACTTTAAGTATTATGAAGATTTGGTAATTTTTTTTTGGATTTGTAAAACATGGCTGGCAATCTGATTCTTGTCAATGCAACTGTGTTACAATTCAAACATAGGACTTTTGTAATCCCTGGCTGGTGACACTGTGCACGTTTTCAGTATGTAGAAATTTTTTACACTTACGCTTAATATAAGACTTTTAGAAATAAATACACAAAAAATAAAGTCCCCCTGAACAAAGTCAAATATCTTGCAGGAGAATTACTTTAACTTATGAGTAATGGAACAAAACAAGTTGCACGATTACTGGTGCACATATCTACAACTAGGTACAAGCAAACGTCGCCATCCTTTCTTCTTTTATCACTTTGCGTAGAAAGATATATTGGAAGGGTTGACGTTCAAAAGAATAACACCACCATATTTAAAGTCTTTCATATAACAGTGGTTATACTCTGCAGTTCATTTCTTTTGCAGTCAATATTAATATTATGGAAATACATTAGTTTATGTCCATGTTGACATCTTCTTCACTAGAATGCGATGTGCCATCATTGTCATCTGGACTAACTAAATCACTTCCGGGAGGTGCACCCAGAGCAGCTGGAATATTCCGGCGAGGTATCACATTTCGCTGTGTGTTATCGGAATCACGGCGCATGTAAAATAAGACATAAGCTGCTTTCGACTAGAAAAGAAAATAAAAAACCGCATTAGATAATTTAATTAAAACAAAAATGATTAACTTTTAATATTAAATTTAACAAATAATGCTTTCAATTTGATAATATTACACATTTCTGAATTGTTTTTTTTTAAAATGAAATTAATCAAAATTATTCATAAATCATTTTAAACAAACAATATATTGATTAAATTATTAAAAACTAAAATGATTTTTAAGTCATAAAATTGTTTATTCTAAATTCTTTAACAGAAAATTTACTATTATCATCAAAACAAGCAAAAATATTTAAATACGGATGTAATATTTAATGTTGTTTTGCATTTGTTAAAAATTTATATAATCCATGTATCCATAAAATATATTTTAGTATGGAAATGATAAATATTAGAAGATTGCAGGATAATATGTGTCGCGCCATTTGTGTCAAATTTGTTTTCAAGAATAATATGCAACTGCTTTAATAATTTAATGTCTGCTGGGATTTAAATAAACCCCGTCGAAAGTTTTTATCTTAAATTTTTTAACTTATCTATCATTTCAAAATGCATATGAATTGAACTTTTTGAATCTTTTAATCAGTTTTCTTATCCTATCGCCATTCTTAGACTTTCGTTTCTTCTTCCGATGATATTTTTAATTTATTTATGTCCTTTTCTTTTAAATAACGCAGAGATGTAAAAAATTTTGATAACACTTTTAAAATATTACTAATACTTGTAGCCTATGCAAACAATTTAATATTTAGAAGTCAGCAATGGATTTCCTTGTAAAATCCACGATATTAATGTCTTCTAATTTACATTTATAATGAAAAGTATTATTTGAATTTCCCTTTAGACTTGAACAATTTCTATTTTATTTGATTTGAAATTATAAATTCTACTATTTAAACTTTCAAATGCCTTAAAGTTTTATTCTTTTAATACAATAAAATAATTTTAAATATTATACTTTTCAATGTTATACTTTTCAATGTTATAAGAAATAATAAATTTATTATGTTAATTTTAATAATTGTATAATTTGTTTTTCGTTTATGGACGTATTTTATTCTATAACTTAACACTTTACTTGATTAAAATGTATATAACATTATCTTTATTTTTCATAATAAAAATTATTTTATATCTCGTAATACTTCACACATAAAATAATCCAATTCCAATTATAATAATTAAAAAGAATATTTTAATATATTTATATAATATTATCAATGTATAAATAGAGAAGGTTAGTAGAAAACTGTTACAAGTTATTTTTCTATTAAATTACAGAACATATTAAGTTAAAGGTAGATAAATAATATTTAAGCAAATATATCTAAATTTCTTTAATTAATAATAATATATTTTACAAAATGTCAATATTAATATTAATATATTCAAATTATACATCTTTTGCTTATATCATTTCTCCTCTGAACCCCTTAATTACACATTATGAACCTGTTTTTATAATACATAGGTAATTTTTAAATTTATAGTAACAGTAAATGATTTTAAACTTGAACTTCTACGAAAACAAATACAATTTCTTTTTATATTAATAAAAAAATATTTATGGATAAAGACATTGTATTTAGTGTATCAAAGTTGTTATTTAATATTGCTATTTGGTGATTCTGGTTGTATTTCCATATATGATGTACTGTTAACTAATAATATACCGTGGCAAAAAATTTATATAAAACATATATGACAATGGATTTTCTTTTTGCTAAAATATTACGTTGCTATAGATTAATTTAAGAGCAAAAAATTTTTGAAATTAATAATTATTGTTTTATTTTTTTCTTTAAAAATATTTTAAAAAAATGAATTAAATGAAATTTCTTTATCACGCTATAAGAGTTTTTTGATTGGCTACTTAGGAATGATTTTTTTATGTATTAAAGATAAGATACTGAATATAAAGTGTAACTTAATGTAAAAACCAACGTTTTGTCACGAACACGCTAATCGTCACGAATACAGTCACGAAATAGATTATAATGGTTATCAAATTGCTAATATATTATCTTGACACAGTTTTTCTGACTTATTTATATTATTACTATTAAATAAAAGGTATAATTAGTAAAAAAAATCTAATGATAACTTTAATATTAGAATCGGAAAAATCAATACTTTAGTTCTTTTATTTTCTGTTTTCAAAGTGTCTCAATGCAGTAATTATGTTTTTATAATTTATGCTTTAGTCTTTGAAGAAATAGATTTTATTTGGGAGAGTTTTTCAATTTATTAAACCTACCGTTCTTCGTCACGCGTCAACCATATATCATGTTCATGACGAAAGAATGAGACATTTTCCAGTACGTGACAATTTTTATCCCAATAAACGTAGGGTACTTTGTAGGAACAAAAAAGGACCATATGGTTTTCTTTTCACGCAAGCAACTTTCGTTAAACTCAAATAAAACTTTGATGATCTTTGGTTTCATAACTTTGAAGAAAAATGATGTTTGCTTACTAAGTTGCTTTCCTTGAGCTACAACGAATCATTTATATATATTACGTCCCCCATTTAATAACTTGCCTAGTAACGAGAAGAAACAAAATACTTTCTGAATATCCATAAAATTTATTTCCTAATTGTAATTACCCTATAACATTTAAAATTTTACACATATTACATAAATTCAGCAGACATTCATTTGATTGTTGTTATTATTTGTTAGTTTTAACTTTATGTTTATGATGTAAAAATTTTCTCTACCTATGTACAGTTGAGTTTATTTTGTATTTACTTTGGGATAAGAGTCACGATGCTAAAGTAACATCGTGATATTTCCGAGTACTCTAAAAGAAATAGAAGCTATATTTAACTGGATCCAAATAACACAGGAGAAAGAAAGTACATCTAGATGTTATCTTATCTTACATGCTGTAGAAATCGTGAAAATTGTATACCGGAATATTGAAGAATAGCCTAAAATTTTTTTTTGTTATATTTCGGTACGAAAATTTATTCTGTTTATGGAGTTATATATATATATTTGTATGTGTATGTGTGTGTGTTATAAAATAATAGAAAAATATACCAATTTTTTTGAAATACATTGTGTCTTGAAATATCATAAAAATAATGACACAAAATCCTTAAAAATAACCAATAAAAACAAAAAAATTAAATAAAAAGTAAAATTTTAAAAATAAATTTTTTTCATTATTCTAAAGCGAATATTCTGTTTTTGAACGAAAATTGTAAAACAGAATATATCATAACTACATAATTCGAAAGTTATTGTTTTCACTTTATTAATATTGACTTTATCAATTAAAGTAATTAAGTTTTAAACATTTAGAAAGTTTTTAAATTAATCCCCTTTTGAACGGAAAGTAATCATGCAATTGTCTACTGTATTTTTCGTCCAATAACAATATCAATACCAGTGCGAAAAATAATCAACAAAATATTTTATTTATATTCATGTATTATTTTTAAACTAATTTTTAAAAAATTTTATATCAATAATGTACTATANAAAATTGTTACATTTTTGATTTCCACTAGAAATTATCAAAACTACAGTTATTTTGAATCTGTATGTAATCTTAGTCTATGCTCTACACTTTAACATGTGTTTCCAATAGGTATTAGTTAAATTTTTGTTTTTTTGGTTTGTTTAAGATTACTTTCTGAAGTTGTGTAATATGCATTATATTTATTTTTATTTATAGTAATGAAACTGATTGCTTTGGTACTGTGGGACTATTGCAACATCTTAAGCAACTCTCTTCAATATGCTTCTGTTCTACTAAACTAATTCTAAAATTTAGTAATTGTGTTGCAGTTTTAAGCAATACCAATTTCATGTAAATAAAAGTAACATGCAAACCGATGCATAAGAATAATGTAATTATATTGTTATTTAATGATTATCTGTAAAAAAGAGATTATATTGAACCTAATATTGAATTGTGGATCTTTTCTCCACAATATACCCTTAAAAATTTTTTTAAATTTGAAAATATATTATATTGTATGTTTAAATTTGCATTAAGAAATTTATTTAATTTCAGTTATACATAGGAAAGGAAATATTTGATTTATAGAAAATTTTTTAAATTCTATTTTCTTTCTAAACATTTAGAAAAGCAAATCTTCACATTTAGTTATTATTATTATTATTATTATTATTATTTTTTTCTGGGGGGATTTTTATTATTAACTAATGTTCAACAGATACAAAAATTTCTGATAATTATCATATATGGTTTCATAACAGATTTTATTTATCTCAGTTTAAATTATTGATAACAAAGTCAAAAAATTTAATACTTTTTTACACATTTAACATTTTGGCATTGGTGCTGGAATAAACAATGGAAATGTTTTAAAAATAATCATTATTTTTGAATTAGTAACTGTAATGCAAATCTGAAATATCTATTTCAGTTCTGCATTGCAGTATTAAGCAATACAATTTCACACAATTTACAATACAATTTCAATTTTTTTGTTTTTTTTAAAACACTATCATAACTTATATTTTATTAACTGTTTTCAACAGGAACAATAAATCAGAATAAGTAATTTGCATCTTTATTAAAAAAACAGTTAAAATATATTATTATCTGATCAAAATAAACAGATTTGGAAATTAAAATTTCAAAAATATTATCTTACTAAAAAATGCCATTAAGTTTTGAAAGGTCATGTTCAAGGCATTGTGAATTTGTTCATTAAATTAAGATTCCCGTAATTAGATAATCACCTAAGTACCCATGAGTTACAAGAACATCATTATAATAAATTTTTAATAATTCTTTCTGGAAAAGTGTTTTTACTTTTAAATTTGTCATTTCAGTAGGATTTAATATTAATCACAATCTAAATGTTTATGTGTATCATGTTTAACATACACAAATTAATATAATCTTAATTAAATTTTTCAGAAATTAACAAAATTTTCAGTTTTTTTTCTTGCACAAACAATGTAAATTAAAAATCTAAGCTGTGTGATAGCTATATGATGTTAAAGCACATTTATAAATATAGTAAAATAATTTTAATTTTAAAAATCATATTAAATTGAAATCATATATGAATTTTTAATAATGTAACCAAAAGATATAAAAATTTATATCCATCTTATTAGAACTGATTTTTTTAATACACAATTATGGGAAAAATTAAAATTATAATTTTTAACTGTTTAATATTATCAACAATTAAAAAATTTTTTTAATAATTTATGTTAAATGTTTATGTGAAGTTTGAAATGCATACTAAAAATATGGATACAAACTGTAGATAAATCAAAAGTCAATAACCACTGGACTTGTCTCTGCTTGATTAATTTTCTCATTGTTTATATTGGTGTAATTTATTAATAAAAACAATAAGAAAATTAAATTATGCATAGCCATTCATTACTGTTTAATTGCTTAAATGACATACTATATATAATAAAAAGATTTTGCAATCTTGGTACATTTTAACAGAAGTAATGAATTATTTTAAATAAATTATAATCTACACATGTATTTAAGTAAAATCATATTCAATATTATCAAATTCTTTCTTGTAACAAGCTAAAAAATAGTTCAGAATATTAATTCATAGCTCCATTAAAACTCAGAACAAAATTTATATCCAATAGAAAATACTATTAAAACTTTAATTCAACTTGTGAAAAACACTTAATCTGTTATTGATTCAGTTTTATCAGTTGTTATTGGCAGTAGAAAGTCATTCGGCTTTAAATTATACATGTAAATTCCTGTGATGAGATTTTATATATGATTTCTTAACAAATATCAAACCAGTAATTTTAAATTGCTAATTTTGTAATCTTCCAAATAATAATAATGTCAATGAATTATTATTATTAATATTATTAGAAAAATATAATTGCTTTCAATTTAGTCTAAGTGAAGTAAATGAGGTAAAGGTTACAACAAAAACTAAAACTTTTAAAAATAAACTCACCACTGTATTATCTTCAGTTGCTGAAGAGACAGTAGAATCATCAAAATAATACCAAAGGCCATCCTGTTTATTTTTTGCATAAGCAGTATCTAAATATTTATGAAAATTAATTTTAATAAATAATTCTAAACATTTATTTTTTAAAAATAGTCTAACATTAAAATGTCAAATAATGATTTAAAAGTATGAATATTTTAATTTTTATTAGTATTAATGATGAATAATTACTGAAATATTAGAAGTAATTACTAGTGAATTAATAACTATCTGAAATGTGGCTATAACTTTTACTGAGACTTCTGAAAGCTGCTTGCATATCACAAGTCGTGACCTGTCCCCGTGCTTTGTGAAACAAGCTTCAACTTAATAGCTCATTCCTATTGTTAATTTTAGTGATATTAACATGGCTATTTCACTATCAAAGCCATTTTCTCTTCTTTGTTTGCAACAAAGAAGAGCAAATGGCTAAGATCCAGTTTTTGTGGACCAGGATCCAGGAGAAATTTGGCTTATTTGAGTCAAAATCAATTGAAGACTTTTAGTACAATGTTGAAGTGGTATACTACTGCAAAGCAGTTTGTAAATAGGTTGGCAAGCTCAAAAATAATTACACAGGCATCATGCATGAAAGAAGAATTGGATACTCATCTATATCTACTATTAGTGACTTTAAATGTCATATGACATGATTCTTCAGAAAAGGCATTTCTCTTGTAATTTCTCTGCATTTGCCACAAAAGCTTTTTAATTCAAAATAGTTCATTTACATAATATGCTTTAATTTTGCTTAAGTAATGACACCATACAGAAATGCATATCAACAAGTTAAAACTAAACAGTTATACAAGAAAATTTTGATGGCTTTCAAATGTAATATATTTCATTTTATAATTTTTTTTAAAGAATTTCACACATTCTTCATACATATTGCAATCTTTATCATTTTCTTTGGTGTTACATTTATAATATGAAAGCAATTTCATAGCAATTGGTCAAACAACCTAGGAGTATACAAACAGTATAGTGAACAAACAAACATCCTCATATATACATATATATATATATATATNAACAAATGAATTATATTCAAATTAGTTCTCTTTTAAATGTAACTTTCATTAAAAAATAATATATAATTACAACTTAACTGCTTTATTATACTTCACATAAATAATGAAGTAGAAAAAATGGATATTCAAAATTTTTTCCATTCTTTGAGCATAATAGGCCTTATTTTTGTGAAAATTGTACAGCTTAATTCTATATTTTATGAAGTAAATATAAAATTCCTTTTGTATTAAAAAATAGAAAGAAAATGAGAGTAGTTCATGGCTACTTCATTAATTTCTATACTTCAAAGATGAAGCGTCTTAGATAATTACATATATTTACATTATATAAATACAATTATTTACATTTTTACTTGAATTCACAATTAGAAATGAATAAAATATTGTGTCCCAACGCCCACTAACAATGTCCACAAATAAAACTGTGCAAAAATTTACATAATATTTCAAAGTGAATTCTAAATGCAACTTGACTCACAAATTTTGTGTGTAGTCAAAAATATTTTCTTCTTAGGAAAACCTTATCAATTCAATTTAAACAAATCTTGTAGTATAAAATCATATATAAATTAGGCGTTTAAAAACAGAAAAGAATAGTAGAACAACAATGTCAAGAAAAATTGGAATATTACATCTACTGTAAAACACAAACCAATACCGTTCCTTTCCAGTAGATTTACTTCTCAAACAGGATATGATCTGGGAGTTGAGATTAACCTAAAAGAAGCTGAGTTGATACATACTACTTATAATACTACATAAATAAGGAATCTTTAAATCACTAAAGAGGAGTAACTGTTTAATAATAAAGAGGCAGAATCTATCTCTTCATCTTGGAAGTTATTTTATGACACCCTTTAGTTTTCTTCCATCCATCATAATTTCATCCCTCACTTAAACATGATGTGTTATCTTATTTGTTACATAATCTTTAAATTTATTTATTTTGTATATTTATTCTTAAATAATTCCCTATCTTGGGTATGTTACATGATAGATTATTATTTGAATTATACAGATTCTTTTGTGTGTGTTCCATTTTTGAATATGCACTGAAATAGACATTCTCTGATTTTAAATATACATGTTCTATTTCAGTATGTTCAATTTTTGTTTTTGCATCATAACACACACTCTTCTACACTGTTGTATCCTAAATAAGGCATATTAGAGGCCAAAACATTTGTTAAATAAATTTTGTTTTGCCGGAAAGGAAAGGTGGTGATTTGTGTTTTAGTAGTAGTAAAATATATAATAGGTAAACGTTGATTAAATTACTATGAAAATATAAGATGATTAAAACATTTTGCTTCATGTCATGTCTTTCTTATTAAAGGAATGAAAACAATGCAAACATTTTTTATTTTCAAAATATGCAAAAATGGAAATACAATAGTTTTTGGCCAGTGATTATTCATGTACCATATATTAATGTATTAATCTTTGTTATAAGAAAATTAAATTATTTACTTTGAAAACATTAATAATTGTATTTTAATAATCATGAAAAATTTTTCAATTTCTAAAAGAAAATAAACTTGCATTATTAAGATTTCTATTGTAAAAATAACAAAATCTGTTTCAGTTAATCTACTTTACTAATAAAGGACTTCCATCTAATTTCATAAACTTAATCTAGGAAGTTTTTTAAACAAAGAACAAGTAGTGAATGACTTAAAAAGACAATACTAAAATAAAATATCACCTAACATTTTCTAAGCCATAATTCAATATGTAAAACAAAAGTTGATCTCTTATTGGAAAATTCTGAAGTGGCAATTTTACAAAATTAGCACTTCACAATTATGCAATTTTTTGCCTATTTCATGAAATGAGCACTTGCTTTCTGAATTAGATTTTTTGGTTAAACACTATTAACACTAATATTATTCTCTTCTTTCTTAATCATTTTAAAAACAATGAAATAAAAGAAATTTGACTACAAAAAATTGTCAACAAACAAATGAATTATATTCAAATTAGTTCTCTTTTAAATGTAACTTTCATTAAAAAATAATATATAATTACAACTTAACTGCTTTATTATACTTCACATAAATAATGAAGTAGAAAAAATGGATATTCAAAATTTTTTCCATTCTTTGAGCATAATAGGCCTTATTTTTGTGAAAATTGTATGTTTGGCCAAGATCACAATAAGGTTAACTTGCTGGTGAGAGACTAAAGCTCAATGTATCCAGGTCATAGCCTTTACAACTTCAACACTTTATAATAACCAATGATTTGTTAGCTGAGAAAATTGCAACTCATAAAAAACAAAAAAATAATTTATCAAAAAAATTTTGCAAATTTTTAAAAAGCGTCAATAGTTTTATTTTAACTAATAATGAGAATTCATTATTTAAGAAAAATATACATACAGCAGACTATGAAAAGCTTTACCAAATTTTTCCTGAGACTATAAAATAAAAAAAAAAACAAATGTCTATTTATGAG